CAGATATTACATTACACTCTTTTTCCTTTATATTAGTTTTACTCTTCTGAAGTTTTCTCGCATAAAGTTTTTAATGAGGTAATGTTAACACATAGTAAATGTCATATTATCTATTTTTTCTCATAAAGTTTTTTCGAAGATAATATTTATGCCATATTGATCTTTGATCAAATTATTTTTAAACTATGTCTTTAGGGACACCTAAAGGGTCTATTAATATTGGAGTTATATATATCATGGTGTTTCTTCTTATTTTTCCCATTAGATTTCAAAGAGTTTTGCCTGGTATATCGGTATACTTTAGTTTTTTTTTCCACAATGAGAACAACTTCTATTTTGGGATGGAGGGAGTATATAGTTACTGCTTATTTGAAGTTAGTCGATATAAGCAGTAATTTTTGTGCATATTTTCTCTACACTAATCCAGTAAGAGTATCTTCAAGTGTCTTTTTTAACTCGCTCTCTAAATTACCATTTGGAGAGTTGTTTGAATAAAAATCACACTCTATACTTCCAACAGGTTCTTTATATCTTGTGCACACTTTATAGAACTAGTTTCACTCTTTATCTAGCGAGAAATCCAAAATAAACAAGGAATGTATTTAGAAATATAATTAAAGAAACTTTTAGAGGATATTCTCTTACGAAAAATCTCTATTTTTCTCAATTCGGAAGAATATAAGAGACTCTTGGAGTTGTTCAAATACGATTTTAAAAAAGGTCTTTCGAAGGCCATGGTATTTGGGCAAAACCATGTCATCCTATGGTGGTATTTTGAGTTAAACACGACCTCGGCGTCGTCATTTGTCCGCTTTGTATAATATTCTAGTTATTTCTAAAGTCCAGTCATTAGTCGCAAATGTTTTTGTCAAAATATCGTTAGAATTTAGTAACTTGCAAGTGCAAACTGGTCGCCAATAAATTGCTGTTTCGGAGCAGTTTGGAAATATTACAAAAAAAATTAGGGCTTTTTTCTAGATATTTTGCTGAAATTTGCAAAATTTACACCACAAGTGGGTCCCTCTACACCGGCGGTCTATAGGCCGAAAACACCCAAGCTGGCCGGATTCTGTGTAACCACCATCTCTACCGCCCGCTCGTGCCGCCGCTGCCTCCACCGGCCCGCCATGTGGAAGCGCGCCACCTCCCTCCTCCTCCGCCACCACCGCTGCGCCCTCGGACCCCGCTCCCCGGCGGCCTCCGCTGCCGCTGCGTCTGGCCTCTCCCGCACCCAGGCGCCGGCACCCCTCTTCTTCTCTACTCTCGGTAACGACTCTTCCTGTGTTCCTCACAAGTCACAAGCTTAGGCGGTAGCCCCGATTTGATGCGAAGGCTTGCGTTTCTCTTCAGATGCGGCGGGGACGAGGACAAGGGTGGAGGACGTGATGCCGATCGCCACGGGGCTCGAGCGCGAGGAGATTGAGGCAGAGCTCCAGGTCCCCGCATGGCTGCTTTGCCGCCGCTTCATTTTTTACTACGGGGTTATTTGTTTGTCAAAATATTAAATTTTGTTGGATTTGGTTCGGTTTTCTGATCAGGGGAAGAAGAGGTTTGACATGGACGCGCCCGTCGGTCCCTTTGGCACCAAGGTGGGTGATTTCGGTTTGGTACCTTCTTCTACATTTCATTTGGCGCGTGAGCAATTGGGACTACTGAATTGATTGCTCAGGATGGGGTTGTAACTCGTGAGAGTGTGCTGAAATGGCAATGCGTGGTCATCTGACTTGCACTTGTGGATGACATTTTTGTTTAGATTTATTTGTTTGTCTGCCTAAACTGAAATGCTGTTTGAACAAAGACCGTAGAATTAGAGAAGACAGAGATTATATTTTTAGATGTTGGGATAAGAGCTGAAAAGTCAATGGAGTTGTTTTGTTTCTTTGGGAAAAATGTCACAAGTCACAACTCACATCTATAAGTGGTGTTCTACGGTCATGGCAGTAGTTTCGAGGCCAATGAATCATTATGATCTATTAAGTACTGTTTGGTGGTTAAGTTTGTGCTCATAGTTGTAGATTGGCGGCCTCTTCGGTTGGCTGGTTCATATCGTTGCTGGTTCATGAAGAAGTACTGTTGGTTGGTTTGTGTGAGAGAAAAATACTGTTCTGGCTGGAAATTTACGATCGTATACGATCGTTTTCCTCCAGCCGAACAGGGTGCGGGTTGGCAACTGAGTTTGTAGGCTGCGTCCTGATTCAAGTTCCTCGATGCCAATTTATTATCTTAACTTTTGCTTCGACTTTCTGGTCATAAGTAAGTTTCTAGCTTGGGACCCTTTTTGGTGACATATAATAGTGTTTGCTTACACACTTTTATCAAATGCGTTTTTTTCTTAAAATGAGGTCTTATTATTTTTGAATCCGCGCTAGATTTATTACACCAGTAATATTAGCATATTAGATCATTTTTTAGGTTCTCTGTAACATGCTCCCTCCATTCCAAATTATAAGACGTTTTGACTTTTTCTAGCTATGTATCTAGACATAGTGTATATCTAAGTGCATAGCAAAAACTATGTATCTAGAAAAGCCAAAACGTCTTATAATTTGGGATGGAGGGAATACTAATTTGGAAACACTGATTATGCCACACCTATTGAATTTCCGGTACTGTAGGCAATTATTTTTGGTAAAGTACTTGCAGGCATCTTGATTTTGCTATTTGATTTGATTATCTTGTGATTCTTGGTTTTCTTACTGCTGTTTATCTTTCCGTTGTTGTTTTTGCTTCACAATTCAATTTTAAGGCTTGTATCGTGAAGCTGTAGTTTAATTTGGAAAAAGTCTATGTCTGAAGGTTATATATGTTTTTTTCAGTGTCTTCCATGTCCATGTGGGCCATGCTGTTATTAAGAGCTCTAGTTGAACCACCCATGATGTTCCCCTGTTCATTGTGGTGGAATAAACAATATATAAGTTGCTCTGCTTCAAGTAGAATTTATCATTTCTTAGTTGACTTTCTTTTGCATTCTCAGACTCTAAGGATGGTTATCGTGATTTTGGGCAATGTGCTGTGTAGCTGGTCTTCGTATGACTGAATCTATGTGTTTTATTATTGTAGTGACTTTGTCCTTTGATTACATCAGTTGGGAATCCAGTGAGGTTTACAGCTGATCAACTGATACTGGTTCCATTTAGCTTCAGCCTGTCGATGATCACTTTATAGAGTGCTATATGAATCATGATTTTGCTTACATGTGTTTTTCGCATCATTATTCAGTTAAATTCATTTGATCCTTGTGTGGTTCTTCTGCACTAAGCCACTAATATCCATATATGTTATTCCCTCCATAGGAAGCTCCTGCTGTGATTCAGTCATACTACAACAAAAGGATCGTTGGTTGCCCTGGTGGTGAAGGAGGTACACTACTGCTCTGCTAAATATCCCACCTAGTCTTTTCCAGAATTTGAATCCTTGCATGTATCTTATGAAGAAAAACATATTCATTTTCGTAAAAGCTATCTAACTTGTCCCATTGGTTTTCCCAGAAGATGAGCATGATGTGGTGTGGTTTTGGTTGGAGAAAGGCAAGCCACATGAATGCCCCGTCTGTACTCAATATTTTACGGTATGCTGTTTACTCTCGACATAAGGTGCTGGCATTCCAAGAAAAGTTTTTAGCGTGAGGTATCTGTTGTGATGAATGCACCCTCACTTTCACTGAGGTACAATCTCCATCTTATTTCCACAGCTTGATGTGATCGGGGAAGGAGGATCCCCAGATGGACATGACGACGACGATGACCACCACCACCATCACTAAGGTTCTGCAGCGCATGGCAATAAAATGCGGTGCCAATACCATTTTTGTCACAGTGTTGTGAAGCTGTACGAAACTTCAGCCTCTTGGCCTTGTAGTGTTCAGTAGACCTGACCATGTCAACCTGTTCGCCAATTGCCACACAGCTAGGAAGCTGGAACATCACGTGGTTTTTGTTACATGATCCGTACAGAAACTTGGCTATATAAATAATGGGATTCATTACACAACGGTGCACCTTTGGTATTCAACACAAGTTCTGTTGAAACAAGATTTTAAAAAAAACCTTATTTATCTGGATGATTCGATATATATTGCCCCGTCGCCCTTACCAAATCTGCTGGTGGAAGATTTGTTGTCTGAATATTGCTCACACTAATCACCATGATCTATTGAAATTGCAGCTGCAGTCGAGAATGTACAGATAAGCAGTGGCTTCAGCGAAACGGTCTAAGATAATTGTGAGAGGAAAACACTGTTGGCTGGGCTGGTTTATTGTGAGAGGACCTGTTCGCTGGTTGGTTTCTGGGCTGGTTTGGTCTGACTGGTGCTGGTTTATTGTGAGAGAAAAACACTGTTGACTGACTAGTTTGGGCTGGCTGAAACCAACAAACGAACAGGCTGAATATTTGTTTCTCCTTGATCTATACTAGTTTCCAAATGTCAACGTGGCTGAATCAGTGATGTTGCTTAAATGTTGAATCGTTATGGATGAAACATTCAACTTTGGATTTGGCCAAAATACAGACACCGACACCACACAAATCGCTATACACTGATGTCATTCTTGCCGTTGAATCAGTGTGCTCTTTCCTCAACTCGACCATGGAAGTGAACCAAGTGATAGTTTCTTCTACACAAAACGAAATTTAGGACTAATTCGCCATGACGTGGTACCATCTGCACTGACATTTAACCCAATTCCTCATCTGAACCGTTCTTCTACCTACCAGGCTACCACTATCCTTTGTCTGATCGAGTCAGTAGTTTGCAGCTCCAAGACAAAGGCCACTGTAAGAACCAAACCTCATGGGTTGGTTGAGACATCGCTGTCGATAAATTCGTCAAAGCATTGCATGATCTTAACTTACATCTCATGTCTATATTTTCCAAGCATCAAATCAAAGCTAGTCTGAACATGACGACGAAGTGCTAGAGCGGAAGGTCAAGTCAGAGGCAGAGCCAAGCCGCAGAGGCAGTGGCGGGACGTCGCCGGGCGGTGATGGCACTGGAGTGATCCATGGAGGGCAAGAAGGCCAAGATCCTCGCCGGCGTCGCGGCCGTCGTGTTTGTGGCTCTCGAGCTCACCTTGTTCCTCAGCTTCCGCCTGTCGAGGCCGTTCTACCTCTCGACGGCGGTCATCCTGTCGGCCGCTCTGGCGGGCACCGTCACGGTGCTGCTGTGCCACGCGCTGAGCCACCATGGACGGGCCGAGCGCATGGCTCGGCGCCCGGTGCTGGACGGCGTCGAGGAGGTCTCGGTGCGCGTGGAGTACAGCTACTTCCGCAAGGTCGCCGGGCTGCCCAGCCGGTTCTCGCTGGAGGCGCTGTCCGCGGCGACGGACGGCTTCCAGTACGTGGTCGGGCGGGGCTCGTCGGGGACGGTGTTCAAGGGCATCCTCGACGACGGCACGTCCGTGGCGGTGAAGCGGATCGACGGGTCGGCGCACGTGGACAAGGAGTTCAGGTCGGAGGTGTCGGCCATCGGCAGCGTGCAGCACGTGAGCCTGGTCCGCCTCCTCGGCTTCTGCCTCGTCCGCAACGGCCCGCGCTTCCTCGTGTACGAGTACATGGAGAACGGGTCCCTGGACAGGTGGATCTTCCCGCAGCACGGCGCTGGCGCCGGCGGGCGGTGCCTGACGTGGGTGCAGCGGTACCAGGTGGCCGTGGACGTGGCCAAGGCGCTGGTGTACCTGCACCACGACTGCCGCGCCAAGGTGGTCCACCTGGACGTGAAGCCGGAGAACATCCTCCTCGACGACCGCCTCCGCGGGATGCTGTCGGACTTCGGGCTGTCCACGCTGATGGGGAAGGAGCAGAGCCGGGTGGTGACCACGGTGCGCGGCACGACGGGGTACCTAGCCCCGGAGTGGCTCCTGGGCGCCGGCGTCACGGAGAAGTCGGACGTGTACAGCTACGGGATGGTGCTGATGGAGATCCTCGGTGGGCGGCGGAACCTGCAGGCCGAGCCAGGCCCCAGCGGCGGGTCCTCCCGCCGGTGGTCCTACTTCCCGAAGCTGGTCGCCGAGAGGGCGCGGGAGGGGCGCGTGGTCGAGTTGCTCGACCGGCGCCTCGTCTCCTCCACGGTGGACGAGGCCAGCGTGAGGCGGCTCGCGCACGTGGCGCTGTGGTGCGCGCAGGACAAGCCCGGCGCGCGCCCCACCATGGCGCGCGTCGTGGAGATGCTGGAGGCCAGGGGCGGCGCCGCGAGCGTGGACCCGCCGCCGCCGTCGGACATGGTCCTGGTAGACCTGCTCGCGCTCGACCCCACGCAGACGACCGGACCGTTCGGGCTCCCCGCGCTGCCACCGGGACCGGGCTCCGCGGGGACGGCCGCGTCGTCGGCGATGAGCATGGGCGAATCGTTCGCGCTCTCTTACCTGTCCGGCCGGTAGCGCACGTCGCTGTGCCGCGCGCGGCAACTCCGTAGCGATCGATCAGCCAATCGGGACTCCAATGTGGAGTGGCTTCATGCCTTCATGAGTTCATGTAGTGAGTGGTTCAGTCTGACAAACTCTACAGAGTACAGGGTGCAATCACCCATCATTGAAACGAAGGCCAAGTTCACCTGCACGCTGACTGGCACAGTTGCAGCACTGAAGATTGAGATGCAGGTGTGGCAGAAACTGGAATGCCATCAATGGTTCTGCACCTAATACGATTCTAAGTCTTTTTTATTCTTATAACACCCAAGAACTAGCTTTGAAGCGCATCGATCGAACTCCATGGACAATTGCATTTGCGGGCAGTCATGGAACAGATAGTCATGGAATTGAATTCCTCAAGCGTATTATTATGTGCAGAGAATAGAATTATAGTTTTATAGATATGGGAGATAGTCATTGAAGTGTAGTGTTAAATTCCATGATTAATGCAACATGAGAACTGAGATCGCCATGGCGTGCGTATGGGCCTGTGGCTTGCACCGACAGACCCCAACAAGAACCGCATTGGAGGCCTGGGCCCAGGTTGCGGTGGCCTGCTATTTCAGGTTGGTTGTTTATACGGGCTAGAAATGTGTTGTTTTAGGCCCGGCAACAACAGTTATTCTTGTTAATTTTGTTTACTTCCGTAGAACTTCAATTTATACCCTAGTGTTAGTCTGGTTTTACATTCCATGCTTTGTCAGTGTTATGTTCTATACTGTTTTCTGTTTACAATCCTGATATTTCATGTGTGTCATCTTTGTACTACTACATCCGTTCTCTTTTATAAGACGCATCTAGATATGACATGGTCTCCCAAATTACACTTTGACAATTTATTTATTTTATATTATATTGTTTATACTTATAAATTGATGATAGTAGGATAGAACATTTAAATACAAATCTAATCATACCAACTTTATACTGTAACAAGTAGAAAATTAAATGCTAGCTAAAATATTGGTCAAATATTTTAAAGTTTGAATCTTGGTATGCATGTGTAATTTATAAAAGAGAATGGAGGGAGTATTTAGTTTAGACTATTGCAGAGTGTTAAGTGTGTTCGTGCCTTTATTTTGTGCAACATACAGTGTTAAATTAGAACTTTTATGTGAAAATCGTAATTTAACAATGTTGATTCCTCTTAATTAAGTGTTCTTTAATTATTAATGATGTGTTAAATATAATTTTTCTTCGGTTCCTTGGTTACTTTGTGCGATTAGCAAGAGATGATGGGGTCCATGGCATTGGTTGTGCTTTGTTCACACTAAACTATTATGTCCAGAGACCATGCTTATGACAGTGATTTACTACTCATTTGTTTCTTTTTTTAAGGAGGTAAACTCTGCTTTTTTTTTGGAAAAAGGAGGTAAACTCTGCTTTTATAAAGCAACATAATTACATAACGTTCAACAAACACAAAGGAGCTGTCTGAGGATTCCCCAGTACCACTGCACCGAACACAATGCAACCTTCGTCCTCCTCGTCCCCCCGCGCCGCCCCCATGGCGGTCGGGCCTGGATCCGCCGCCGCTGGCCACCAAATCAGCCCGCCACCCTCAACCGACCTCACTCCCGCCGGCAGATCCCCCACTCCCCCGCATCAAATCCATTGTTGTGGGGTCGATTCAAATCCCGGCCATCCCATTCGTCGTCACCCCTGCCGCTGCTGAGCGCAAGGTTAGGTTCGCGTTAACTCCACCCCGCCCTCCCAACCACCAGAGTCGTGTCCGCCATTACTCCCCACCCCCAACTTTCACCTCCAAGAAATCCGATAGGCCTGCTGTAGGATTTGGCCCAGAGGAGCCTTCTATGGACGCCGAAAGCAGCCGGCCCCCTGCCTTCACTTATGGCGTAGCTCCTTCCCAAGGCGGAGACAAGACAACTCGGCAAGAGTCAGAGCTGGACGACGAAGGCTGGACCACGGTTTGCTACAAGCACTGCATGCGCCGCGGCGACCAAACTCATTCAAGGCGCTCACCAACTAGCAATCCGGCGCCCCGAATGGACATCCCTCAGATCCTTAGAGGTAAGTGCCTTCGCTGCCTCTCCCGAGGGCACATCGTCGCTGACTGCAGGGACCCGGTGCACTGCTTGAACTGCGGCCGCATCGGCCATAAAGCCAGGGACTGCAAGCCCCCGGCCCAGCTCCCACATCTGAACTGACTGCAAGCCCTTGGCAAAGCTCTAGCTTCTACGCCCAAGCGCCCGCCCCACCCCGACGACAGCGCCGCCTTCCCCAAGCTGCCTCCACTGGCAATGTCGCTGCTCGAGGACCCGGAGCTCCGGCCGATGGAGACCGCGACAATGGCGGCCACCAATTCCGCCATGGAGGAAGAGCTGCAGCGACTGTCTGCCTGTGCTGTTGTGGTCTGTCTGTGCAGGGAGCGGGACGACGTCGAGCTAGAGGCGGTCAAGCGGATGCTCTGCTCCAAGCTCGGCATCCTAGACAACGACATCAAGGTGACGCGCCACCGACCAGAGGACTTCCTCATCGTCTTCGAACATCAGCACCACCGCAACGCGGTCTCTGGAACTACAGCGGCCCCAAGTCGGCAACATCGTCATCCGCATCTTGCCATGGCGCATCCTCCCCTACAACGACCTCATCCAGCTGCGCCACCACGTCCGCATCTGCCTCGAGGGAATCCCGGCGCACGCCTGGAACAAGAGCATCGCGAAGAGGGCCATTGCAAGGGCCTACGACATCGACTACGTGGAAGCGCGCTCCAAACGCCGCGACGACACCAGAGCACTCTGCCTTTGGGCGTGGACATACGACCCCTCTGACATCCCAAAGGTAACTTGGCTTACACTGATAGGAAGCTCGGCGATGGTACATGAAGGAGCTGCTCCACCACGAGGATGTAGTGGCCTCACCTTCAAGGTGCTGGTCCACCTTGACATCGTGGAGCCCCCACCGGACGAGTACGACAACTCCACCCCGAGGAAGATCGACTGGCACTATGGCGTCGTCGACGGGGAACGTGCCCCGCGCGAGCGCCACGATCCCCAGTCTGATGCCAGGCGTGATCGGCGCCGCGACGATGACGACGACAGGCGCGGACGCCGCAGTGACAAGAGGAATGGCTAGGGAGCCAGGATGTTCCGCAGCCTCTCCCACGCACCAGACAAGAGCAGGGAGCGGGAACATTCAGAGTCACGCCACGGCAATCGATACGATGCCTCTTCTTCAATAGGAGGACGGCGCCGCCGAGCTGCTGCCGCCTTTCCCCCACGTGCCTCATCGTCAAGGGCTCCTTTCTGCATCAGCAAGACGCCCGAGGTGAACAAGCCCCTGGTGAAGGATCTTGCTGTGGCGACCGTCGCTGCAGAGCCTCCGCCGGCTACTGCAAGCAAGGAACGAGGGTGCAGTCTAGAGCGCAGCAGCCGACGTCGAAGCGGACACGTGTAGCGTTTGCCAGCCAGGGCCACCGACCAGGCTCTGGCCATGAACTCTCCTCGACACTGCGATGCAAGCTGCCTACCCAGCAGCACCTGCGATGGTGACGACCGTTCCCCGAGCCCACCGGCTGCGCCCCGCCTCTCCGCCGCATGAACCACGCCTTCTCCTGACCCTCTTACGCCTCGTATGGAGCAACATCAGGCTGAGAAGGAAGGGGAAACTCCACGGCTGATCTCGCCCCAGCCTGGACAGGCGCAGACGCATGCACCGTCAGCAATCCGTTTCAAGCCGGGCCTGTTCTTCACGTGCAGGCCCCGAGGGCCTGGCAACGCCAAGACACATGGGGGCTGCATCACACAGCCCACCACGACGCCCCCAGCATCCTAGGAGACGAAGAGGGGCAGGACGCGTCTTCAGTCGCAGGGCACGTGGACCCGGCTACGTCAGGACACGCCATGCTACGTCGCAGCACCCCAGGGGACGGACGGTGGTAGGACTGCAGAGATGTTCCTAGCCTCGGTCTCGCGCTCGGTGACTCCGGCCCTGCTGCAGATCCCAGCCACCAAGAAGGATGTGCGTCGCCGCTGCAAGACACACCTGCCTCGTTAGGGATATCATCAAAGCGTCCGCATCGCCACCAGATCCTGGCCTAGGGGCAACACCGTCGATTACGCTCGATAGATTCTCATGAAGCGCCTTGGAGTGCTGGAGAAAGAAGAAGACGGCCCCGCCACCGACGACCAGTTCCTGCAATACGTCTAGCTATTCTAGGGGCCTCTGAATGACTCCGTCAGCACGGCTCTGACAGCCCTGTGTGGCCTGGAGGACATTCCAGCGCTGGAGCTTCCTCAGGCTTAAATGAATGTCATCCACGCCGGGAACTACTTGGTTGATCATGTTAGTCGTCATATTTTGTCTTCACTGCTCGCTACATCGAGCTGATCCCAGCGATGCCTGTATCAACCGACCATGCAGGATGTTAGCCAGGGGCCTTCAAACACCTCTGCCATGGTCAGCGTTCTTTTGCTTTCTAAGCAGCAAGTGTCGCCATTCGGTTTGTGTCGCAATCCCCTTCAGTGTCGTCGGACCGGATCATTTCGGCTACTGCATCTGCCCACTAAAGCGGCGTTTAACTTCAGTTGTTGCATCTTCGTGTGCTCCCTCTTCTTGTCGTTTGGCTTTGTTTGGTTGGCTTTGCCTAAAGCACCTTTCGCCCTCCTCTGCGATGTTGCATAGGATGTTCACTTGCCCTTCCCAGTCACTTGCATGCGATTCTTAAGCACACCAAAGGGTTCCACGTTCTATTTTTATGGCTCAAAGAAACGCAAGTCGCTAAATTGGAATGTAAGGGGACTTAATGACAATGCAAGGCGCGAAAATTTGTCGAAGGAGCTAGTTAGAGATACCGGCGCTACCATAGTATGCCCGCAAGAGACCAAATTGCAAGCTGACTCGGCCGCACACATAGTAACCCGACGGTTGGACAATGCTTTTAAATTCTTTTCATTGTACTACCAAATTGCTCAGACGAGAGGGGCATCCTGTTTGGCGGTCAATGAAAA